CCGCTATTTCCTTGAAATAGCTCCTCAGTTATCCTCACGAGGCTGAGTGGACCCAGTTTCAGACCCACTACTTCTCAGAAAATCTGGTAGCGCCGGGAATCGAAGACGGACCTCTGGATCTGTAGCCGGGAACTCTGAACACTAGGCCACAGAGGCGGTCACATTTCACATACTACCAAACATAATTTCTATGCTTAATTTCTGTTTCAGAGTAGTTATACCGAAGGGCCCAACAGATGAATTTCTTTTCGTACCTTGTTCACATAAAGTTGGGAAGATAAATAAGTTCCTAATCGTAGTTACCTTAGTGGAAACCCAAAATGGTTGTTAAAATGTATCACGCAATCTGTATTTAGGCTTAAAGTTAATTTAATGTCTCGTTCAGTTTTTTTCACGAGTTTATTTTTGTTTGTTCTTCAGAGATTCTTCACGCATTGTCGACGTGTTGCAGACAGTCTGACTGCGTGCCAGGCGCAGGCATTGTGACGGTGTCCGCTTGAAATTAACTAATTCCTCGAATACAAGTGAGACCAGAGCAATTATTTCCATAAAACGTTGAGAGACTCTCGGAATTAGATATCCAAACAGTGTTCTGTTTCATTTCATATACTGGTTATTTTTTAAGATTTATTTTACTACTCTATCAGTATTTCTAATTATATAGCGTGGGATGATAGGATAATAGCAGAACTCCGTGACTTTTAGTCCGCAAGCTAACTATTCCAATCGAGTGACCTCCGCGTGTCGACGAAGTTAGTGCCAAATTCTGCAGACAGAGGGTGTCGCGTGGTCAGGGCAACGGATTCCTATGACCGTTAATCTCTGTTTTATAGACCAGAGCCGCTACTTTTCCATTCAATTAGCTTCTCAATTATCGTCACAAGGCTGAGTGGACCCCTTTGCGGACCCACTACTTTTCAGAAAATCTGGTAGCGCCAGTAATCGAACTCTGACCACTAGATCACAGAGGTGGCCGTTAGGATAATAGTGAATTGGAAAATACTTGTAAGGAAACAATCGTGACCTAGCATTATCTGCCTCAGGGACTGCCGGCAGTGACCAAGGAAGAGTATGAAAACTTAGGGAAGACGAACTAAGCATCTACTTTATTCAGGTCAGAAGCATTACCGATTCAGCCAACGAGGTTCTTGGTTCAGTAACTTGCCCTGAACCATCGGCACTATAGGCAACGTCATTGTACTCACAGAACTTTAAAATACGATTTGTCGTAGCCAGTGCTACACCATCAGTTTTTATATGAGAGAAACAGATTGTGTGAGATTTGAAGTGTTTGGAGGCTAGAAAGTTAGTGGTCCACTTATTTCTGTTCATCGACTAGGGAACATAGCATTCAAAACAAATGAAACTGAGGACTGAAATAAGGTAGGAAGATTTCTTCGTTTAAATTAATTACGTTTCAGTAATATTTTTCAGGGCCTAAATTTTTAATGTAAAAAAGCTATATATGTTGTTGAATACTTGACTGTCTTTTTATATTGAATGCGATATTAAACCTTAAAAGCAAGAAGTTCATTTACCATTACCCTGTATTCCTCTGCTGGAATTTTCACCTTAGAATACTTTGCATGTTCTGCCTCCTATTTCTCCACTTACACTACAATACTTGCACGACCTACATAATCTTCTTTGGAATTTCTTCTTCGTTTTATATGCAGATTATTTTTCTGCTGGATATGAGGGAGGGTACAGGCTATATTCAGTTCAGGAATCATACAGGAGGGGCCCAATGACAATCTAAATAATTGCTTTTTCAGATAGAGGCAAATGAGGGATCTTATGTTANTAGTGGTTGTTATGTGGAATGCGTTTAAAGCTTGTATTGGCAGTAGTATAAATAAAATAGAATAGTGTGGCATGTAGACCAGTTGCTAGGAGACGACCGCAAGATAGGAGACTTTACAAGGGCCATTGTTAGGCAGTGGACCTCAAAAAGCAACTCAGTATTGGTGTTTTCTGCGAGGACCGCTAAACAATAAATGAACAGCAACAGAAAAGCGATGTTTTCTGTGAGATCCGTGCCGAGATGTTATATTTGGAGCCATGTGTTAGTTCTGGAAGAGTCGTCAACCAGTAAGAACGTGAGCACGGAAGCAGAGGACATTGTTGCGGTCCGTCACCGTCACCAGTCACAGACTTTTGAAAACGCAAAAGACTGAGAAGATTTATTGCGTGCTGTAGTGAATTGAAAATTATGTGAAATAGCGGTAACACCATAGTTACTTGTAATTATGATCTGTAAGTGTTCAGTAAATCTAATTACCAAACCAAACCTCGTCTATAATCACTCATACACGTGACAATACAGATGACTGAATCAGTTTGCTTAGCGAAGTGGTTTAATTTTCAGTGGCGGAGTAATGGTGAGTTACGAATTTAAAATGGTTGGGATGGAAGCGTCTCTACCCATTAAGATATTTCACAAATATATATCTGCAAGAATGAAGGAAAGTCACGGAAACCGCCAGTTTCTCTTACCCGGTTTCCTAGCCAAATTTCGAAACATATCTCACGAAATAGGAGTGCCAACCGTTCGACTGAGGCATTCCGAAAGTTCATTTAAATTATCAATGTTGATAGGCGAAGAACTGGAACAAAATGGTAAAGGTCTCTTTCAGTTACTATCCACGCACGGCGGCCCGGGTTCTATCCCGGGTCTGGTCAAGTGGGATTTGTGGTGGTCAAAGTGGCGCTGGGGCAGGTTTTTGTCCGAGTACTTCGGTTTCCCCTGCCAATCTTCCTTCCACTAATTGCTCCACAATCACCCTCACCTATCGTCTGGGGCTGGTACAATAGACCAAAAGTGGCCGCAGTACAAGGAACTTAGTCAAACCCCACTAGCAACAATACTATCCACGCATATCCTGGTGGACTCAGAAAAAGAAAAACAAAGAAGACCTTAATCAGAATTCCCGGTCCAAAGTCGGGCACGGTGATCGGTATGGATGGATTATCTCCTATTTGTCACTGTATGAATTGTGTAGTTCAGAAAGATGGTTAAATTAATAGGAAGACGAAATACGTGAAGTTCATTGTAAATATTCATCATTGACGAGAATGATTATGCGATTATTTCCATATGGAAGAGAGGGGACTGCGGGTTGATAAGAGATTCTTCTGAAAGGTATTTAAAACAGGTGTTAAGATCAGATTATATATATATAAAATTTCTTTGTATTTTATAGAAGCCTCATAAGGCTTAAATCCCTCGATACTCCTATGAGGTAGACTGTTTGTTGGTTGTAATCATTTTGTTGAAAATATTGCCGAAATGGCGTCTTGAAATAGAAAATATCTTCTCTTTTAAAAACCTTTGTGTACTCCCTACTCACTGGCATTTCCTATCACGCAAGGGTCTATATAACCTACTGTATTATCATGATACAACGTCGTTTAATGTGTCTTGAATATATGAACCTTCACCACTTAGACGGACCTACAGGTAAAAATGTAGTTTATTTATGGAACCCTCGCAACATGTCTGAAGCCAGACTTTTCTTTTGATAACCAAGCATCGAGTTCGATGTTAATTTTTGCATAACGACCAGATATCGCGTATCCATAAAAGTAAATAGCTCAGGCTTTACAAGCAAGAATAATAACCCCGTTTAAATCTTAAACATTGAGCACCCATAAAAGCCAATTTGTTGAGGACACCTAAGAAGCTTGATACACTTACACAGTGAAATCTTCTTACATTGGAACAACATAAACCTGAATATCTCTGGTTTAAACATTTAATGTTATAATTATTCTAAGTAGAAATTCTTTACTTTGTTTTTATTTTTATATTAAAAATTATGTGTCCAGTTTTTTGAAAATATAAAATGTTGATACTGAAAAGTCAAATATATGCCAGAAGAGACTGAACTGCATCATGCTTCAGAGATATTGAGGGAGTGAGGGCCTAGCCAATAGGCGATGTCAAGTTTGTAATAAAGCAAGAGAAAGATAGATTTCTGTTTATACAGTTATGTGCTTATAGATAAACGTTTCTTAGTAAATGATCCACATAGCTCTGATAAAAATCGCAATGCAATACACTGTTAATAAGCAGTGATAATTTAGTTTTATTTCCTATTAATTTCCAGCTCTTTTGTCTTTCCTTACATCTAGAATTCAATAAAATGTTCTTCACACATTTGGTTCAGAGTGTCACATTGCAAATAAGCCTACACTACACGCTGACCATTATACAAAGCCACGAATAATTATAATTATAATAATAATAATAATAATATATTGCTAAATATTTTTCGGCCGGTCACGGTAGCCGAGCGGTCTAAGGCATGCACTGTCTTCGCTCGCTCGGAAGCCGGGATCGTGGGTTCGAATCCCACTCAGGGCATGGATGTTTGTGTACAGGTAGAGGCCTTGCGACGAGCTGATCACCCGCCCAAGGAGTCCTACCGTATGTCTGAGATCTAGAAAAATCGAAGTGAACGGAGAAGTTCATGGAGGTAGGCCTAGGCCCACTGGGGCTGTAGTGCCAATGGAAAAAAATAAAATATTTTTCGTGTCCAAAATTATGCAAATTAAAATTATAAAACATAAGCTCTTGGTGACTGCACTTTTCATTTACTAAGATTTCTGCAATGAATCTACTACTGGCATATTAATAAATTCTGATTTCAGCTATAATTATTAATATGATTTTCATAATATTTTACCGAAACTCTTTGAAGATTATCTGAAACTTGTACGTGTACAGACATCTGTTTCTTGCCGTTCGGATACAAGGCTATATAACCGATTACCTGTAAGCGGAAACAAGACCACACACAACCAGATATTCTCCATCCTTGTGGCATTCCTTCATGGGAGTAAATCGGGCGTAAATATAATGAGGCGAGTCTAGGACATCGAAATATATTAACGAGCTTCGGAAGGGAGTATTCCATTGATAGGAACTAAACATTTCTTTTAGGATTTATTTCCTTATGATCTGGCAAATGAATAACTTTGATTTTCATTTGTTGCAGATAAAGATCTATTGTTGGAAGACTATTCATGCTATAGTCATCATATTGCCACGTTATACCAATGGCAGACAGGCGAATTCTGAAGATAATTTTAACTTACAATTCAAGAGGAAGCATAAGGTGCCCACAGTCAACAGGTAAGTACCAACAAATATTTCAAGAGGAGAAAACAGACCAAGTATTGCCTAATTCTTGAAGATAATGACAAGGATGATGATGATGATGATGATATCACACTACATAGAACTGTAAATTATTTTATCTTGGATGTAGTTATATATTCATAGTTCTCGAAAAAAACCTGTCTCCTAAAATGTAAATTTTTATAATATGCGTATTATTTATTGTCCTTTGTACGAAAATAAGATGTCGAGCGGGTTAGTGTAGCGTTACCGCTGTACATCTCTATTCAAAAGGCGACAAATTCAAAGCAGGCCTGAACACCGACAATCCTGGTTGAGGGTTTTCGCGATTTTTCTCAGTCCATCCATTAAAATTCTTGGGCATTATTTCGTATTAAGGGGAACCGGCATAGCCAGTCGGTTGGAGTTCGAGTCCCGGTAAGGCCAAGAACTTTCTCTTCTCTACGTCGTTCAGACCAACACAAACACAGAATAAACGCGCACACACACACCAAACATCCATGCCTTGAGTTTAAATCGAACCTACGATCCCAGCGTCCGAGCGAGCGAAGACAGTTCGTGCCTCAGACCGCACCGCGCAACTACTGCGACCGTCTCTTGCCATCTTAGGGCCTATATATATCTTTGACGTGGATTTGAGTTGTAACGATACTGCGTTCAAGGTTGTTCATTGTCAAGACTACTGTTTTCCAGTGCCTGAAGAAGTCACTTGAGTCAGCTTCCGAAACTTCCCATGTCAAATATCAGAATGTTAGTGTAATATTAAACACTCAAAAATTAACACATACTAGAATAATTAATCGGTCACTTTAACTGTCTTTTAGAGAATAATTTATGTCTGTACTTGAATCAGTAAAGGGGGCACTCGGTACCGTAGTTGGTTGAGGCACTATGCTACAAACCGAAAGGTCGCGAGATAGTATCCCGATGAAGTGGATTTTTTCAATTGATCTAATCATTTCAGCCGCAGTATGGCCCTGGCGTTCATTCAGCCTCTAACAGAAATGAGTACCAGGAATATTCCTGAAGGTAAGAGGCAGCCGGCGCATAAGGCCGCCATCTGTGAGCCGATTGTCTAGAAAATGTGGGGACCTCGACCTCTCACTACTCTATGGGCCTCCACGGCCTGTCACAGGGATAGCTTTACCATTTCTTATTTGAATCAGTAATTATTCTGATGTCGGATACATCCGTTTCGCTAATTGGGCTCGAAAGACTGGATTATATTTCTTCGGAACCATAAAAACTACAACACCTTCATGAAGAATAGAACACCAGAACAAAAACAGAGTACGTTGCCATAGTAACGTAGAACACAGATTCCCAAGGGCCGTGCGAAAGAGATGCATCGTTTCATTAACCTTTTGGTGCTGAAAATGTAATTCTTTTTCCCTTCCGACAGAACATTTTTGTATACTGCTGTGTTTTTATCCCATTAATGTTGTAATTGTTAAAGAGCGTTGCGGAATATGAGGCTTTGCTATCTTTTAACCTTCTCTCTTTCCCTTGAAAAAATCTCAACTCGTCCTCACCTTGGTGCGTTTTTATCGCGTTAATTTCTAGGATATTAAGACTTGGCGATGCGTGGGGCTAGACACTGGATTATAATATGCGAGCAAAAGTGACACAACACTGCTGAAATATTTATTTATATTAATTTACATCATTTTTTTCTGATGTAACGAGTACATTATGTCACTATGATCAACTTAGGTTAAGGTTAAGTTGTGCCTGTGCTTAATTAATTAAGCACATTACCATTAAGGCGTATGGGGAAGTAGATATATAAATTCACGTTTTCTTGAGGTCGGCGCTGGTTCAAGGTGAGTCGTGAGCTTCACGCCCCAGCCGCTTTACCCCCGGGGAAATATTCCCCGTCACCCATTAGATCGGAGGCTGTGTGGGCCCCAGAGCAGGTCTGGACGACATGGATAAGAGAAAATTATTGATCCTACCGGGACCTGAACTCCGACTCCTCGGTCGTTCAGCCCGTAGCCAGTCGCGGTACCGACTACGTTTTACGGGCTCCTATAATCAGCTGAGAGACTAGCTAATTCTCAGTTTGTTTTTAAGGGTACGGAATGGCTTTAGTTTAGTATATGGTGATATTATGAAATAATTCTATATGTATAATACCTGTTCACTTAATTTTCTGTAATACCTTAAACATCATATTTAACCCTTGTTTTATGGTTCGATAGGTCTCTCTGGTGCTGCTACTTATTACAAATTTTGTTTCAGCGATACTGAAACAACTGTTAGAATGTAATAAATTACTGCTAATTTAATTAAAAAAATCTATTTATTATATTTTCCACATTTGATGGATTTTTAATAATGTTTGTTATATGCTACGCTTTGGTTTGGAATATAAGCATACATTTTTAGCGCATTCGCAAAAGGAAATGCCTGTCATGAGTAGATTTTTCAAATCTGTCTTTCTAGCTGTGAGCATATAGCAACAAGAAAACCCCAAAATGAATTTTCATGAAATCAGATGGTGGAGAATGTTACTAGTATTTATCAACATATGTCAGTTTCAGTTAAAATTTGGAAGAAAAAACCAAGAAACCATATATATAAAGACCTACGTTTGTTTTTGCAAGTTGTCTTATACGTAACTCACAAAATGTACATAGGAGGAGATATAATAGCGAACGAGAGTTCTAGACAAAGTTAAATGCATATTTTACATCTAGTGTAGTCCTTCCAGGAATCTTGCAGTCTTTTAAATAATTAAACAAAATTTAACGAAATCACCATAATTAAGTTTCTAGGCGCGCACTTCCTAACTTGTTTAATTTTAACATTTATTTGTCTGTCACTCTTTCTTGTATTACTTCCTCCAAAACTATTTTAATTTCTTACTTTATCTCATGAAAGTAAAAGGTATTAAAAGATTTACTTAGATCAGAAAGAACATAAAGAAATTTAAATAGTAAAATTAGTGTCATTCACAAATATATATATAAGGATACATGCTCCCATACATATATAAAGCTACCTGCCTAGTACATATATAACCATACTTATGTATGTCTCGTAAATACAAATGAAACTTTACATATCCTATATGATGTAGTGTTCCCTCAAGTGCTGAACTATGTTTTGCGTGTTCCGCCAAGTGGAAACGGGAACGAACTTGGTATGGATCTAGGAGATTGAATAGCTAAGAAACTAGAAAACTACAGACACAAGAATAGAACCCGCAGAGGAAATTCTGCTTGTGAGGCAGTGGCGTTATGTTCGAGTTATGGTCCTTGAAATCTCATCGAAGGTATGGTCTCTTTTATTTCAGGCGATTTTCTTTGAAATAAACCTCAGTCGCCTACTTCCAAACCTTTTCCTATTTAATTTTCAAAATCACCTCTCAATTTTTGGTGCCATACAAATTTTATATTCTTCATTGCCGCTAACCAACGCAAGACTCAGACGTAATAAATCAGGAAGGAAACTGCCCAATTACGTTCGCAAGAGATAAATATATTTTTAGACAGCTGACAAATCGTTTTCAATATTTGAAAGTTTAAACTTTCGCAACACGAACGTTCATAATTATTATTGTAAGTTTTCACTATTTTGTCTATGGACCGAGAGATGAATTAAGTTTAAACAGGCTTACTGAAGAAAGTTGTCTTCTGGGTTTAGGCACCGTGTATTCTTCGTTTTGGCCGACGTTTCGGAGGAACGTACCGCCTCCATCTTCAGAGCAGTGGAATAGCTGCGGAGAGCAGTAGCTGTCACAGCTACTGCTCTCGTCACAGCTACTGCTCTCCGCAGCTATTCAACTGCTCTGAAGATGGAGGCGCTACGTTCCTCCGAAACGTCGGCCAAAACGAAGAATACACGGTGCCTAAACCCAGAAGACAACTTTCTTCATTGTCATCGCCGTGAAAACCTCAAAACTTACAGGCTTACTGAAGTTTATTTCATCATCTTACAAAAGCCACCACCAGTGAGGGTTTCTCTATAGATTTATTTTATGTTGTGTGGGGGTGAAACTTTGTCCATCCTCCTACGGAGAAGTCACAGATTGTGGGCGACTGACAGGCGGATGCAGAGGGAGAAATTTGGAGCTGAGAGTAGGGAATAACAGAAGGAAGGAATACTGTATAATCAAGAGCTTCGTATTTCCGAAGTTTCATCAAATATTATTAGAGTGATGGAATCCAAATCCTTCTAGATTTAATCATTTTAAAAAATTCTTGTAAAGAACAGAAATTAAGAACTTGATAATTATGTTATCTTCGAGTCAATGTAATAAAATTAAGTGAACTGAATGACACGAATTTCTTGAGTTTTATCAGGCATTAATTTCATTCGCAATATGAATATATCAGTGCAGTTCTGTCGTTCCATAACTCGTCATCTTCACTGAACACCCAAAAATTAGCAGTGTTCAGTTTACTCGCGATGTATACGAAAATATGCAACGTATCGACAGTTATACGACAGAAATCATCCCTTAAATTTAAAGCGTTTTGATGCATCCAAAGAAATTATTTTATTTATCGTGTTGCATATTTGTGACTTCACTCACTCACTCAAACATAAACCGACTGTTCTTTTTTAACTTCAATTTCCTCTTAGGACCATGATGATGAACGCACAGTTTGGAAATAAATTTTTGTAAATACATTTTGGAGGTAATGTTCTGTATTTCAAATTCAGTAATTTCCCTATCCTTATGGAACACTGAGATAAAATGTAATATTATAGGCACATTGATTTTTTCTAATAGTTCGGAAGACGACTATCTCTTGAACATGTGTTTGAGGCATTCGATTTTTGTTACATAAATTAGTCAGTGTTTTCCTTCTTGTCTGATTCAAAATGAAAATTGTTTCTCCTCCCTTCTCTACTCGATTTTTAGAAAATAACTTTCTTATATACTTACTTTCAAAGTTTTCTGTACCGTATTTTATGGGAATAGAAATTCACTTACGTCTTATTAAACTGGTGCGAGAGAAAACTTTCTTCCGTTCCACTTTTTA